CACCAAAACAACACATTTTTACTAACCATTCTTAATACAGCCATCATAAAACCTCAAAGTTTCTATCAAGTCCTAACTAATTCCAATATGTACAATTTGTCTGGGGGTGAATAAAAAAAAACAATATTTAAAAATGAAACCAAAATAAATATTTACCTTGGCGGAAAGTTTATCAGAACAATTAGCATGAAAGTATTTATTAAAAAAAGGCACGGGGAGCTACGTTACGAAGGTTGCAAAGGGACTGAAACCGAGATGCCAGGTCAGGACCAATAATATTGCAAATTCTTCTTTGGATGTTATCAAGAATCTCTAAATATATATCAGAAGAACAAGACCAGAGATAAAAAAAAAAGCCTTTTATGTTTAACTAGCTGGGATACTCGGCGTTACTCGGAAGATCTCTGAATAATAATTTATTATTGATAATTTATTGATATTTTTCAGCCATCTTATGGAAAATAATTCTTCATTCAATCTTTAAAAAGTTCGAATATGTGAATAAGTAAATATTAATTTTTTGTCGAATAATTGTCTTTAATATTCTTCTTTTATATTTACTTTATTGTTTTAATATTCACTTCTTTAAGTAATGCTTTTATTTACTGTAGATGTGAAAATAAATTCAAGTTTAAATATGTCTTAAATTCGTAATTTATGTTTATTTACTTTTTTTTATTATTAATATTTGGATAGCGTTTACCAGATTAAAAAGGTAAAAACGAACGGAAATCCGATTCGAGAATAAGAATTCGTACCGTTCGTTTTTTCTTTTTAAATCTAAGAATTTCGAATGCATTCTAATTCATTTTAATTTTAAAATATCTTCGTAAATACAAATCAGACGATGATAATTTTTTTTACAAAAAGCTGGCTTGGGTGATAATGAGTCTTTATAAATATTTTTTTTTCATGAACTATTGTAGTTTTTTTAGTTTTAACGGGACACACAGACAACTGGCCTTTATATATATATATATATATATATATATATATATATATATATATATATATATATATATATATATATATATATATATATATATATATATATATATATATAGTTTATGCAAATTTAGGTAATCCGTATGGGTGGACCTGAGGAGGATGATATCCAGAGAGCTCAATGTAAAATTCAGAGTAGATATGTTTGAATAAAAGACAGACCACGTTAAGATTCCATGTAATAAGCTATTTCACCATAACCCCTTTAACAGGGTTCTGGATCATCAGACTTTACTTCCAAAAGCTGAAATGAAAAATGAAAAGAAATTCACACGTTTTTTACGGACCTCATCAAGTATACGCAAAGTTAACGAAGTGAGGAAGTGAGGTGGGAGAGAGGATATGAGTGTGTCATATGTATCATTTTAGTTTCCTATTTTAACCCCAGTGTGTCGGCTAGATGTTGCTCAAATTTAACGCGTCTCGTCTCTAGATAAAGGTGGCTAAGGGGTGAATGATAAGAACGACATTAAAGGAAGACGTTACAACAACCCCAATAAATTACGACAGGTTTCATTCAAATTCTTAGACGCTGTCAGTTCGCGTTACTTTAACGTGCATATTTGGGAGGTTAAGGTTTGATAAATATCTAAATGTTAAAACAATCTACGAAGAAATTAATTTGAAATTCGGTGGAGTTTTGGGTATTTTCTAAGAAACAGTCGATTGGAAAAATCCATAGACAGAACATTGAAAGAGCAATCCATTTTATATTTAGTAATTTTTTTTTTCCACTAAAACTTTTATCTTATAGCTTGTTAGGTTGACATCTATTCGTTTGATTTTTGTTCATTAAGTAAACTCGTGATTGTTTTTGATTTTTGTTCATTAAGTAAACTCGTGATTGTTTTTATGTACCCAATTATCAACAGTTATTCCCATTTAAATAATTTTATTCTCCACACTGGGGTAGTATATTTCAATCTCAATTAAAATACCAATCTAAACTTTCCCTTCGTGCTATTTAAAATTCACTTCCAATTGGAGAATATTAGAGGAGAAATTTGGAAGAGATGTCACTAGCAGAAAATTAGGTCCTTCTTTTACAATTTCTTATCTACACATGTCTTAAACCCCTATTTGTAACCATGTGTCTCAGTGTGCAAATACATTATCATAGTTGTAAACATATAGTCATTTTACTGCTTATAAACTTCAATCTTCCATGAATCTCGTACATTCATAACTGCTCTGGCGTATCAAATGTAAACAAATGACGTCATATATTAAGAAATGGAGAAAGTCCGACAATTTATTTATTAAAGACATTTTTATGTTTTAACGTTCTTTTTATAGATACAAGTATTTAAGTAAATGCTCTGTTTATAATAAACAGTATTAAATATAAACAGTAAATTCGACTTTGTTTACCGAACGCTCCTTTGTGGCCGAGTCGGTTAAGGCACGTCAGCGTAAATGACGGTTTCGTATAGGATGCAGGTTCGAATCCTGTCAAAGGACGAATATTTTCTATGAAAATTTCTCGGACATTCAGGCCGGTAAATGTTATTTAATAAAGAGTTAATTTTATTTTGCAGTTCGACATAGTATAAATGGGCCGTCCACTCAAATACGGACATCTAAAATAACGTTTGAAATAATAGAAATATGTCGGATTAAAAAATAAAATAATAGAAATATGTCGGATTAAAAAATAAAATCCATTAAATCTTTAGAAATTGCTTTGTTTACATTTCAGATACGAAACTGAGCAGATATGAGGCTTTCGAGAAAAGTCTTAACGATTGAGTATGGTTTAAAAGTAAAACAGATTTTTTTTTAGCCGACCGATAAAAGCGCGATGGTTCAAATATGAGACTGGCAGAAATGGGTTCTCGAGAAGAATTTCAAAGGGAGGTGTGCATTCTTCAAAAATAAATGGTTTTATTGGTAGAAAAGGAGAAATGAAAGCACGAAATCGCTTATATTTTGAATGGCACAAGCGAAAAACACAAAACTTACTTTGCTATGTAATTGGCACTTATTACAATGAAAAAATATTTTTCCAAATATACAAATTGTACAAATTACAATATACACTTTGTACAAAATTTAGCTTGCGCGCTTCAAATTATCAAGCAGATTAACAGTTTCTCTTAGAAAACAACAGTTCTTGTAAAGCAAATGATTTCCTTAACAACAAAAGGAGTCTAACAACTTTCTTTTAGAGCAACAAGAATTTTACTTCCTTAAAAAGAAAAAACATCAAAACGTCGCTGGTTCAAAGGTTGAAATTTGAAAGCGAAAGTGGATTGAGAAAAAGTTCATTTACCTCGGCGAAGCTGCTTCTGTGAAGTCCATTAAATTTTTTTGACGCCAATTTGGAGCAAAGGGACTGAAGCCGAGATTCTAAGTTAAGACCAATAATTCTTCTTTGGAACTTATCAAGAATCTCTAAATATATGGCAGAAGCATCAGGCCAGATGTGAGAGAAATATTCAAAGCAAGGACGAATGGTAAACTTATAAGATATTTATGTAAGATAGATTCTGGCGAATTGGCACTTCTGATTCTCTCAGAATTGCCTCACTCTATAGGTTGAATGAGTTCAGTGAGAAGACGTATCCTTATTTTACAAGCTTTTCTATTTTTGTATCTCTTCTGGATTTTCTATCCGTATGCAGGCAGTTTGCTGCCAGTATAGTTTTTTGATATTCAAATATCTTTCCCAAACAAATCAAGTTTGCTTAACAGTTCCAACAGATCTCTGTAGCGTACTTAATCGAACGCCTTTGTGTAATCCATAAAATGCAGGTACACACCCTTCTGAAGTTGTATAAATCATTCTGATAACAATCTGAACATAAATATCGCGTTCCTTGTTCCACTGTCTTTGACGAACCCGCACTGTTCGTGTCCTGTTCCCAGTTTGATTCTATTGCGCGCTCTATTCATCAGAATTCGAATGATCAATTTTGTTATATGGCTCATTAAGTTCATTGTTCAATGGTGTACGCATTCGTTTGCACCTGACTTCTTAGGCAGTGCTAAGAAAATAGATCTAATTACGTCTTCTGGTATATCACTTATTATCATTTATTTTTCATCTTGTCTCTGTTGAAATCGTCTAAGGTCTCCAGCATCTTTTATTGCAATTCCGACTGACTCTGCCTCTTTGTTTTTGATCAATTTGGCCAGTGCTGCTTCCACTTCAGATTTTTGTATTTCCGGTCCGTCGATATTTCTGTGTATTGCCAGTTCTCCTCTTTCACCATGGAAGAGTTCTCCAATATATTCGTTCCATTTCTGGAGTATTTTTTCTTTCTCTAATATCAGCGTTTGGAGCTTAGAGATTTTGTATCCGCATGTAGACGGTTTAAGATTATTTGACTATGCTTAATATATATGCTACCATTTTCTGTCGTGCCATATTGACGTAGAAATCTTGGTGATCCTGAAAGTCTCTTGAAAATTAATTAGCAACATTTCTGTGTAAAACTGTACATGGTGATTTCATCGAAATGTTTAAATCAAAATGAAGATGTGATTTTTTTTTATAAAAAATACAGTAAAGTTTAATTTGTTTTTCTATGTATTCTTTTTTAAAACTTTGATATTCTAGCCTTTAAAAAAAAATTATTGGTGTTTATTTTTATTATCTTACCAGTCGGTTAAGTGCCATGCGCGATAAACATTTGGGCGATCATTTCTCTGCCGATTCCTGGCTAGCAAAGCAGAAGATATTCCCGCAGTAGGCTGCCGTTTCTCTCTGCGGTAGACTGGTTGCCAAACAAGGCTATTGGGTCCAGTTTATCCTGCTATTCAATCTATAGCTGGACGGAATAGAGATGGATTCATACGTTTTCCAAGGGTAGTTGTACGTAAGTGAATATAACGAACCCGACTGGAACTCGAACTCGGCTCTCCGTCTCCAGTTATATAAAAGAGTATTAAGAAATATAATATACAGACATAAGTTATGTAGATATTAAGAATCACACCAGATACTAAAGATACTAAAAAAAATCAAAACTCTCACCTTTGTTTTATACGCTATGGCTTTTCAGGACTTTGGTGTTTATTATTTTCTACTACTTGTTTTTTTATTTTTTTTTGTTTTTTTTTTTACTCCAGATAACATTTTATCATTCATGATACACGCTTGGGAGATCATATCTCTTTTTTATGCATGACTGACTACACAGAAGACCTTCCCGCAGTAGGCTGGCGTTTCTTTATCCAGTAGACCGGTTGCCAACCAAGGCTATAGGATTCAGTCTGTCCTGATTTTCAACCCATAGATGACATCTTCTGTCAACTCAAACTTTTTTTTATCCATGAACCACTTATTCTCTTAATTTCTTCTTTTTTTTTTTTTTTTTCTTTTGGTAGCATCAACCGCCCCACCCCCACTAACCATTTGATAAAAAATGTTTATTTTATTTTTTTATTATTAGACAAGTTTAGGAATTTTATTATAGAAATAGTAAATGTATATGCTTCCTTTATATATAATCCTTAATATAAAATCCTTTTAATATAAAATATTAATAATAAATTTAATCTAATATATAAATTATAATTTATATATTAAATTAAATTTATTATTAATATTTTATATTAATTAATTTATATTAATATATTAATATTATATTTTAATATTTAAAATTAATATTATTATTTATTATTAATACATTAAATTAATTTATATATATTAAAATCTTTATATAATTCTTTTTTTTTATATATATAATCCTTCCTTTATATATATATATATATATATATATATATATATATATATATATATATATAATCCTTCCTTTATATATATATATATATAATTTTCCTTTATATATCCTTCTTAGTGATATACGCTTGGGCGAACATGTCTCTTTCGATTCATGACTGACTCATCAGAAGATTTTCCCGCAGCAATTTCTTTCTGCGGTAAACTGGTTGCCAACTAAGTGCCTAGTCTGTCCTGCTATTTAATCCATAGCTGGGCATAGAAGAGGTGGATTCATGCCTTTTCTAAGGGTATTTGCACGTAAATGAATGTAAAGAAACCGAGTGGAATTCGAACTCGGCTCTCTGAGTTTCCATTCCGAGGCTCTATCCAATAATCCTAATGCTACCAACAATTATTTATAAACTAGAAAGACCCGTGAAAATTTCACGTTTTTCCTATTTTAATATTCCGATGAATCTTAATTCTTCAGTTCATGATTGAATAAGCTCATGGCGAGTTCAATGACAATAAAATATCCGTAGAAATTCCCCTATCACATCGTTAATTATTTGAGCTTAACAACTTTAACAAAATCTTGCAATAACAATTATAAATATGAATGCTGGTCTTTATTTTAAGAAGTAAGGGGTACAAATGAAAAGATTTGAAATTGACAATTTTTCCATTTCACTGAAACAGACGTTAAACATTTCTTTCTTTCTTTCTTTCTTTCTCTCTCTCTCTTTTTTTCTTTCTTTCTCTCTTTCTTTCTCGCCGAAAGCAAGTAGCGTCTCATATGTCTTTTTCGTCTTTCTACGCTATCAAAACGCGATTTCTGAGGTATTGACAGAAGACTTATAAATAAATAAATACTTTTATCTTTCTTTCTTTCTTTCTTTTTCTGACTGAAAGCATGGAGTGTCTTTTCCCCTCTTTCCAAGCGAAACGGAGTAGTCCATTATTATTATTATTGAGATGTTGGCAGGGTGTAACGGTCGTGAAAACTAACAGAGGCGGGACAAGCACGATTACTATATGACGATAACAAAGTTAGAAAAACAAACACTTTGATTTCGGTTTAAAATTTGTCGAGACGATTAAAATTGGAGTGAAAAGAAGGTAGTTAGATGCCCTGCTGTGTTCCTTGAGTAACTGCCGCAAAGCGATTCTCATATTTCTCGTTACGTCAAACCTCTTTTTATTTTTCCACCCCAAGCAAGGTACCACTAAGACGCAAGAGGTTAGAGAGAGGGAAAGAGAATGAACAAGGCTTTAGTGAGGAGAACGGACAATAAAAAATGTATTAGTGACTTTCTCACTGGATGCTTGACGGCTGTGGCCTTGTGCCAATTTTACCTCTGTTTAATAAATTTCATTCTCGACTCCTGCTTTTAGTGTGCGCGTGCGCGTCCGTGTGTGTGTGTCTGCGCACGCGCGTGTGTGCCTGTGTGTGTGTCCGCGCGCAAATACGATCGTATCTGTCATAGTTTTCTATCGGAGAGTCCACTCGGTCGGTCCGTACCGTTCCTTTCCACCGACCCCGTTCGCCATTTCTTTGTGTGTCTGCCAAAGCCCTTGTTTCACCGTGACCTTTCCAATGCTTTCTCAGTTCCTGGTCACTTAACAACCCTCACATCTTGCCCGACACCGGAAAATAATGAACCCATTTTACGCGTAGTCTCTGCCTGTCCTCCGACACATTTTTCATGGTGGGAAGGACAACGTCTCCTCATTTGAAATATCCCTGGGGGGCATTTTAAACCAACTCGGGCGGCATTCAAACGCACGTGCACCAACGTATATGAGTGTGCATTCACGATCTATACTAATCTCTCTCTCTCTCTCTCTCTCTCTTTATTTCTCTATTTCTTTCTCTCTCTTTCTCTCTCTCTTTTTTCTCTCTCTCATTCTCTCTCTTTCTCTCTCTCATTCTCTCTCTCATTCTCTCTCTCTATATATATCTAGCTAGCTAGCTAGCTATCTCTATCTCTCAAGCGCGCAAACATACAAATACACACTATCTCCCACGTGCGTACTCACACACACACACACTATCTCCCACGTGCGTACACACACACACACGCTCTCTATCTATCTATCTATCTATCTATCTATCTTGCACCTGCGTTCACACATTCACTCCCTATTTTTTCTTTTCTATCTTCCACACGCAAGCACACACACACACACACACACACTATCTCTCTCTCACGCGTGTGATACGCACACTTACACCCACACACATAAACTTTTAGAGATATCATTATAACTACACACACAGGTTTCACAGTTCCTACCATACACAGTCTTTTGTCACTCTCTGTCTTTCTCTCTCATACACGCACAAATACACGAACACACACATATAGGCACGCGCACACACGTGTACAGATAACACATTTGTAATAAACACATAGATTAGATTCTCCCTATGATAAGCGTCATTTTTTTCTTTCGCTCTCTATTTCCGCCTATTCTCTCTCTCTCTCTCTCTCTCTCTCTCTCTCTCTCTCTCTCTCTCTCTCTCTCTCTCTCTCTGTTGTAAGCGCGCACGTACGCACATCCACGTTCGTACAGACATTCATTGGTTTCAAAATTTCTCCATGTCACACGCACTACTTTCTCTCTCTTTCTCTCTCTCTCTCTTTCTCTCTCTCTCTTTCTTTCTCTCTCTATTTCTATCTCGCTCTGGTTTTCTCTCTCTCTCTATTTCTCTCGCTTTCTTTCTCTCTCTTTCTCTTTTTTTCTTTCTTTCTCTCTCTCTCTCTATTTCTCTCTCTCTCTTTCTTTCTCTCTCTATTTCTATCTCGCTCTGGTTTTCTCTCTCTCTATTTCTCTCGCTTTCTGTCTCTCTCTCTTTCTCTTTTTCAATCTTTCTTTCTTTCTCTCTCTCTATTTCTCTCTCTTTCTTTCTCTCTCTATTTCTATCTCGCTCTGGTTTTCTCTCTCTCTATTTCTCTCGCTTTCTTTCTCTCTCTTTCTCTTTTTCTCTCTCTCTCTCTCTTTTTCTCTATATATTTCTCTCTCTCTCTCTTTCTTTCTCCCTCTATTTCTATCTCGCTCTGGTTTTCTCTCTCTCTATTTCTCTCGCTTTCTTTCTTTCTTTCTCTCTCTCTTTCTTTCGCTCTTTTTCTCTCTTTCTTTCTCTCTCTCTATTTCTCTTTCCTTTTCTCTCTCTCTCTCTTTCTTTCTTTCCGTGTCAAACGCGAAAAACCGCTGCATTCACACAGAAACGCACAACTATGATATACCATCATCTGTAACAGATACACAGACTGGACGCACACTTTCTCCCTGTCACGCGCATTGTTTTTTCTCTCTATGTTGGTCTCTTTCTCTCAGTGTCTCCCCCTCTCTCTCTCCCTATATATATATATATATATATATCACCCTTACATACGCAAACACATAGATACAAAAATATATACACAGTTGGGTTCATATAGATATCACCCCTATAAGGGCCACAGATATAAATAGATTAGCACACATTCTCTACATCAAAAACGGAACACCAGGTGCTATAAACCTGGATGTGTAGGTGGTGTCATGGATAATGGCTCGGAATTGTTAATCGGAGAACCGAGTTCCAATTGCAGTCGGGTTCGTTATATTCACTTACGTGCAAATACCCTTTGGAAAAGTATGAAGCAACTTCTCCCCCACCTCTAGCTATGGGTTAATTAGTAAGACTTGTATCACTAAATCATTATTGTCTCCGCCAAAAAGCTGTAGAAAACAAATCAATCTACGTCAAAACCACCGTCTCTCTATTTCCATCAGTCTATCTTTCTCTCGTTCCATCTTTACCTCTCTCTCTCTCTCCCTCCTTATTTCCATCTTCATATCTCTCTCTCTCTCTCTCTCTCTCTCGATCTCCATCTCTTTTCTGTTTCCATCACTTTCTCTCCAACTCCATCTCTCCATTTCTATCTCTTTCTCTATTGCCATCTCTCAATTTCCCTCTCTCTATATATATTTATATCTCTCTCTATCTCCATCTCTCTCTCTAAATTTACATCTATCTATCTATCTATCTATCTATCTATCTATCTATCTATCTCCATCTCTTCCTTTCTACCTCTCTCTATTGCCATCTCCTCTCTATATATCTCCATCTCTCTCTCTCTCTCTCTCTCTCTATATATATATATATATATATATATATATATATATATATATATATATATATATAAATTTATATATATATATATATATATATATATATATGTTTGAATAAAAGAAAAAGACCACTTTAAGGTTCCATGTAATAAATTATTTCACCACAGGGCTCTGGATCATCAGACTTTACTTCCAAAGGTTGAAATGAAAAATGAAAAGAAATTTACACATTTTTGACGGGCCGTATTAAGCATATGTAAAATTAACGAAGTGAGGAAGTGAGGTGGGGGAGAGAAGACATGAGTGAGTTAGATGTACCATTTCAATTCTTTATCCCTAACCCCATCTATCTATCTATCTATCTATCTATCTATCTATCTATCTATCTCCATCTGTGTGTATGTGTGTGTGTCTGTATTTCTCCCTCACATGCACACAGGTGCGTTCGATCAGTTGTCACCTCGACAATAGACCCACAGATTAGATGCACAATCCTATCTGTGGTAGTGGAGATTAAATTTACAAATAAGAATATGTCAGGTCAGTGTCGATTTCAATTCACTGTAAATATCTTTGCTTCGGAAGTAAATAAGTCAGCTGCTAATGTGTTAACTATTATTGCTGAAAGAAGCTATCAAGCTTTAAATAAGAATGGTGACTAGGCAAAGGCCTTCGAAAAAGTACGCCACAATGATCTGCTGCTCAGCAACCTCGATATATTCGGGAAAGATATTAGAATAATCAAGAAACTATACTGGCAGCAAACAGCATGCATGCGCATCGGGAACGAGTTCAGCGAATATACTAAAATAGAAAGAGGCATAAGGCAAGGGTGCGTCTTCTCACCGGATCTGACAGCGAGGTAAATCTGAGAGAATTGGAAACCCTACCAGGATTTAGGATTGGTGGCCACAATCTTAACAACATAAGATACGCAGATGACACAGAACTGATAGCAGACACGGAAAAGAAATTACAAAATCTCCTACAGAAGGTAGCGACGGAGAGTTAGAAGAAGGGACTTAACATAAACTACAAGAAAACACAGTGTATTGTCATCAGTAAAAGGATGAGTCCGAAATGCGATTTGCAGGTCAGGAACACTAGAATCAAGCAGACGCGGAAGTTTAAATAGCTAGGAAACGTTTTGACAGAGGACGGTAAGTGCGACACTGAGGTCTGTAGACGTACTGGGATGGCCAAGGATGCATTTCAAAAGCTAGGCAGAGTATTGCGAGACAGGAAGATTTCTTTAGTATCAAAAAAAAAAAGAATACTGAGCTGTTACGTGACATCTGTCCTTATTTACGGCAGCGAATGTTGGACGATTTCCTCGAAGAGAGAGACTCGCGGCAACAGAGATGTAGTTCTACAGAAGAATTCTAAGGATGTCATGGATCGAGAGTGTGAGCAACGATGAAGTCCTACAGAGGATGCAAACAAGGAGGAGGCTTATACTTAACATCAGAAAGAGACAGCCGAAGTTTCTGGGATACATAATGAGGAAGGAGGACCTGGAGAATCTGATACACACAAGTCGAATAGAGGGAAAGAGAGACAAGGGAAAACAGCAAGTGGATGACAGAATATGGTCTTGGGGAGGTAGCAGAGGGAAGGAACTTGGTGAGAGCTGCAAGGTATAGAGGGGGTGAAAAGCCATGATCGGCTACGTGCTAAAAGGACATGGCATATAAAAAGAAAGAAAAGAAGTTCAGGCTGTTGTTTTGGCCATCGAGAATGCATTTGACCGGATTTGGCATTGTCACAAGTTGAAAGGTTATGGCATTTCTGGATTCATTTTTGAAGTAATTCAATCTTTCTTATCAAGTCGCGAAATGAAAGTTGTCGTGAACGGCCACTCATCTAGATCATTTTGCATTAATGCAGGTGTGTCCCAGGGGTCTACCCTTGGACCTACGTTGTCCCTAATTTTCATCAATGATCAGTTTTCAGCTTGGCATCTATGCTGATTAAGTAACTATTTACTGCTGCCTTAATAGTAAGTCTAGTCGGTTCGATAAGGTCATATTGGCAGCTGGTCTAAAATATGACCTACACTCTGGGGCAAGGATTGGCTTGTTAATTAACGCCTCAAAAACGAAACAGCTCTCTTTTAATCCTCTGAGAGAACTCTTTTTACCTACCACCATCATGACTGAGAGTAATTCATTGTTACTTGTCGGACTACCGCATTCAGCTTACATGAAATGGAAAGAGTATATTGAATCAATTGCTATGTCTGCAGCTAGGAACGTTCGTTCACTGTGACAAGCTAGACAATTTTTCTCGTCAGAATCTATCTTAAATATTACTGAGACTACCATTCGTCAGTTCTTTGAATATTGCTGCCACATCTGGTCTGGTGTTTCTACAATATATTTAGAGGTTTTTGATAAAAATCCAAAGAGTCTGCAATGTTATTGGTTCCGACCTGGCATCTCGGCTTCAGTCACATCCCTACCGCCGTAACGTGGCTTCCCTCAGCCTTTTCTATAAATATTTTCAGGGTAATTGTTCAAATAACTTCTTCATGACTCTATGAATTTAAGCGCTGTATTAGGTTGGCGGGAAGGTCTCGTCACTTTACAGTTGAAATTGCAAATTTTTCTTTTTTCTTTTTTCTCGATTTTATCGAGAATCTGTAAATGCGCAGCAGAACCACCAGATGAACTTTCCTTTATGGTACCTAGATTTTTATGAATTTAAGCGCAGTACTAGATTGGCAGTAAGGTCTCATAATAAGTTATCTTATTGTCTTCTTTCCTTAATAGTATATTTCTCTCATATTCTCTAATACACTCAGTAAATCCTTGCGTCTTAGTGGTCTTATTCCCTTGCTTAAGATGAAAGGGTTTATGACTCTCTCTCTCTCTCTCTTTCTCTTTCTCTCTCTCTCTCTCTTTATCTATATATCTAGCGAGCTATCTCTATCTCGCAAATACACACTCTCTCCCACGTGCGTGTACACACACACATACACACACACTCCATCATCACCGAACAGACCCATATACTCTAACACACTCAGTAACCCCTTGCGTCTTAGTGGTTTCATTGCCTTTCTTAAGATAAAAGGGTTTAAAAGATGACTCTCTCTCTCTCTCTCTTTATCTAGCTAGCTAGCTATCTGTACACATACAAATACACACACACTCCATCATCACCGAACAGACCCCAAATCTTGACGAGCTGTTGTTCTATCAAGAATGTCCAATGCCTAAATGGAACTCATATATACGATCCATCGCTAAAGATGCCCGTAAAATGTTTAGTTCTTTGTGCTATTTCAATAAGTAACTGACACGTCCGGCTATGCTCTATCTTTACAGGGCCGAGACTAATATTGTTTATGACTACCGTATATGGGCTTGAGTCCTTACTTTCAAAAGTTCAATAGTGCCTACTTGGTTGATTCTCCACCCTACAACCGATTTCCTACGGATGAAACGTCGCAAGCCTCTCTGTATTCTATCGCTATTTCCATGGCAAATGCTACACTCCTTAGTTCTGCTAGTTTTGACTTTCACAACTAAAACTCTCCTTACCATCTACTCAGGTTCGAATCAGTTTCATCACCTTCGTTTTTCCATTAGTAAGAAGGAAATTCCATTCAGACAGCTTCGGCCACTTTGCGGAACAGACTCCCGAGATGATGCTTCCCGAATGCTACATTCCAATCTTAACCTCTTCAGGTCAAGAGTCAACCGTTATCTTTACTATATATCCTCAGTAACCTCACTTCTTTCCTCCGCTTCCTCCTACGCTCATGTGACAATTAGTATCTCGCTACCTTCAGTGGTTCTTGAGCATTTTATTGGGTGAGAAAATAATTTTTAAAAAGGCACGTTTTCTTTAGGAAAGATATTAGAATAAACAAAAAATATACTGGCAGCAAACTGACTGCATACGGATAGAAAATGAGTTCACGGAATTGTGTGACACTATTTAGCTATGGTAATTGGCTAACTAATTAAGCATGGAAATTAAAAACGAGAAATACTTAAGGCGAGAAAGAGTTATAACGAAAGACATACCGAGCGACATTATTTATTTTTAACAAAAAAAAATGGGTAAAGATTTTATTTTCATTTACGAAGAAAGATATTTTTTCGCAGAAGACAGAAAATTCGTAAAAGAAGCGGGTTTCGGATTCTGTCAGAATTAATTAATGACGCGACAAGGAAAACAGACTTCTAAAAGATGACAAAACTGTGTCAAGCATGCGACCGGGAAGGAATTTCAGTGACCCCCCCCAAAAGAATAGCCACTGATTATCTTTCGGAGATATCATTTGGCTTTGGTTCTTGTGTCCAGCGAGGAGACCCATCTGTTGTATGTCCGGATCTTGACATGAGAGGATAGGGTCAAAAAGAGGAAATCATTGTTACTACCTGTTCGAACTGTTAACGATAGACTTTCTGTCGCCGAGAACGGGTATCTGAAAATGCGATAATGTTGGGACGAGAAAGACAAAGAGATTTAATCGACCACCCGTTAAATAGTTGACTAGCGATAGTTAATGAGTCGGCGAAAATTCCGCTAATGAATTCCAGGTGACCTCAGGTTAAGATAAAAATTTAATAGTCGCGATGTGCGGTCCATAAGAATTCTGGCCGATAGAAAAGAAAGAAAAGGGAAGATCATTTTTTTTTCTTTAGGCGATAATTGTAAACCGAGGCCAGTCTAGCCACACCCACGCTGCCGAGCGTTCATTGGCTGAGTGGTGGCGTGATTGATGGGTGAAGGTGAACATATGAGAAAGAAGGGAAACCTGTTGACGCCCACTGAAGGGACTGATATGAGATACCAATATGAGAAAGGGAGAGTTTAGGAGGATAATTATCCTCAGACCTCTCCCCACAGAAGAGGGAGAACCCCTATAAAACAAAAA